CGGGACTGGCCTAGGGGATTTTATAGGGGTTTTAATTACTTTTAATTGGACATATTCAAATATTTCATTTTAATTAAATTTTTAATTAGGCATAATATGTATATATGTTAGTATTTTATCTAATTTGTCAGCCGCCCTGAGTCCGAAAGGAGAAGGGCGGGATATAAATGCAATTAATAAATAAATAAATAAATAAATATACTTAATGTATATATAATCTCATAATACTGTTAAAGTTCATTATCTTGTGGGGCTGCATTACTAGCTGTTCAGATGTCACATGTGGCCCATAGGCCATGGTTTGGCATACCTGGTCTGAAGGAACAAAGAAAAGTCCTTTACATCTTTTCACCCATTACCAACTTGGAAGTTTTAAAAAGTGTATGTTTAACTTTATTTACTAACTTCTCTACTCTTGACTACTTAGAAAATTCATCTAATGCAGTGGCTCTGCAGATTGGCAGCTGCTGCAACAGGGGGGGGGGAAGGAAATGGTTTCACGTGCACGCCTGCCGCTTGCACAAATGGAGCTTCCTATACCTGTCTACTACTTGCACGACCTGGTTCTCAGTGGGCCATGGACTGGCACCAGGTTATGGACTGGGAGTTGGGGACCCCTCCTCTAATGTATATAAATTATATTTATGATTATTAATAATGAATTATTATTATTGTCAATGATTCCATTGTTTCAAAAATTCAACCTTATGAAATTGCTATTATATGAAATAGCACCAGACTTGGCAAATCAGAAATATCATATTACTTTCCATTTATATAATTTGGTATTTCATTCTGCTTTTCCAGCTTGCATCTAACCCAGGTGAACTTCAGGATGCAAGATTTCCACAGAAATCCTATATTTTGAAAACAATTTATAAAAGGCAACAAGCTAGGAACAATAGAATATTATTTTAGTGAATTCCTAGATTCCTGCATCTATTGTACAAGTTAATCAATTGCTGACATAAGTAAATAAAGGATACAGTACCTTTTCCATTGCCTTCATATCTTTTTCCATTTTGTTCTGCAAAAGTTTTATTTCATTCTCTGAAAGAAGCAAGGATAAGGCGGGGATAAAGCACACCATGAAATTACATGGCTATTTGAATAGATTCATATTGTGCACTCCAGGTCAGTCGGGTGCATGGTAGATGAAGGCAGTGGGCAGACTGGTGACCTTCACAACTGCCCTTGACCTTCACAGAATTCCGCCTGCTGTTCAGCTGGCTGGTCAGAGAGAGGGAGATTGAGAAATAAGTTCAAGAGCCAAGTGTATCTGAGCACCCTTTGCTTTTCATTAATACTCATTCGTGCCATTAGTCACAGCTGATACAAAATGCTTTAGCAGGTGGTTCTAAATATTGCGAAAGATATGGGCAAGTCATCAGAGATGATAAAACTGCAAAAATGTTTTCTTCATGCTAATTTATATTCCCATCCAATAGTATCATGTTTCAGTATTTTGTTTTTGCTACATGTACTTTGTTATTATTAGTATGTCTTTACATCTGGTTTTGATATTGGCTTAGTTGCTCCAAAACTTCTTAATTTCTAGAAGGCAGAGATGACTTATATTTGCAATTTTCTAATTTTCCACTTTTTGGTGTGCAGCAAGGAGAAGTAATGTATTGTATATACATATATGTGTATACCACATTAATAGGCATTTTTCCTAAATTTCTTCATTTATTATTTAGTAGGAGTTGATAAATACTGTTATCTTCTTTTTACCAGAATAAATATCCAGAAAATAAGCATATACTCAATATAAATTAATTCCAATGTCTGTGAAAGTTCAAGACAAACTCAAATTAAAGAGCAAAATAGAAAGAAATGAGCAATTGCTGGTTAGATACTATTCTGCCATTTAGATTTCTATATACTCTTTCTGTTTTCCTGCATATGCCAGTTATCTCTAGTGATTGATTTACAAGCAAAATTTACCTAAGTTAGTCTGCTCTTTCTCTCCCTGCTTCACAGTTTCTTGAAGCTGTGTGTTTTTTTCAATCAGGCTAATTATTTGTTCTCTCAATTCTCGCATCTGTTCCCGATGCCACTCCACATCAACGTACCCTTCACGTTGAAGCTGAAAGATTAAGAAGCCATCTATTTCTAAAGCAAGAGGCATAAAAGAATAACAAAATGTAAATCTGATGCTGGGATGGGGAGGGGGATAGATACACAATGGTTATACAATGCCGCTATCATAAAAATTTCTGAATCCTGTCATGTAAGTTATAATATGAATGGAACGAAAAGCTAGGAGACGAAGTAGAACTTGCCGAAGAAAAGCTCTGGTCCTGCTCATACAAAGACGGAAACATGTGGGGCTGTATTATTGACAGGCATAATACATATCATACTGTTTGTTTGCCCTCATCATTCAGGCCAATTTATTGTGGAAGCTGCATCCCAAAGGCAGCTGGGGCCTATCCAGTCCACCCACCCTTATCTCTCAGTTTAGAAGGGCCGTCTGTAACTAGGCAGGCAAGAGAAACCATGGACAGACAGCTCCAGGGGGCTGCAATGTGCAGGGCTGAGGAGAGGGAGGGGGTGCCTTGTTGTCTTTGTGCCATTTCTCAGTGACAGGGCTGCCATTGCAGTGACGAGTACATCACATGTCAAAATTGGAGAAATTTCCAGGCTGGGAGCCACATGGAGTCCGTCAGGCAGTCTTATAGCAATATAGTTGGCTTTTTGCTTCGTGCTGATGTCACCCAGAGCCAATTCATATTCTCAGCTTTAGAGCAGTTTTGCATGCACATCACACATAGGCTATTCGATTTGGAGTTTTTTTTAAAAAAAAAATGCCGTTGAAGGTTTTGGGTAAATCTCCATGCAAGCAGTGATAACCTTGTAGGAAAGTTTCAGGACAGCACACAACAAAAGACTTTAAAGTTATACTTTTAGTAAAGCAAACTCATTTACATTTTTATTATGCATGGCCTTTGTTAAAATCTGGCCACATTCATTATGGAAAAGACTTTGTATGCATCCAAGCTTATTGGGAGAACTACTCTTTCTTCTTTTCTGCTTCAAAGCTATTTAGAACATTTGCATATATTGTTAAGTGGCTGTTGAGATTTTACTGCTGCATATTTCTTTTAATGAGATGGAAGGGAAAAAAGGAAGTTGAAACACAACTTTATAATGATCTCAGAACATAACAGTGAATTCTGAAATCTTTTTTTAAAAAAATCCTGATACCTAACACTAAATAGCTGAATTACTTAAAGATATGGTATTATTAAATTTTTAGGTAATTATTATCCAAAGATAAAAAGAAAGAAAAACTAATACCATGATATTGACAATTTAAAAGTAAACTGAAATGCTATATAGAATATATTCATGGCGAAATACATTTAAGAAACAAATATAGTTTAGACATGTTCAAATATCAGCTTATATATATTATTGTAGGTTGATTTAATCCTTCCAGTTAGGCATCTGAGAATGATAAGGCTCATGTTTTTGCACAATATTTTAATGTGCCTCACACTCTTCCTTTTCCTGATGAAAAAATTCACAGTTTATTGGGCACTGTCATCCAGTTTGGCTTGTTTGGGTTGATTTACCAAATTTAGGCATTCTCCAAGATCCATACTTATGTTCAGAGTCATATGATCTGGCACACCCTTTTGACACAGTAATAGATAACTTCAGATATCTGGTTTTCTTCCATGATCACATCTTTAATCAGTGTCTGCAGGATGGCAAATTGGTTTGCTAATTATGTTTGGAATTCTTGTTTATGTCCTGATTCAGCCTGTTTATTTTTGACTAAAAAAAAACCAGCTATATTGTGCCAAATTAGGCAGCTACCGGACTACAAAAACAATTTTTCAGGAAAATCATATTGTCAGCTTAGCCATATAATGTTCAGAAGGCCAAAGAGTGCAGATAAGCTGGAAAAAGTTACTTGAGGGCAAGAAGAGCTTTAGGTAAGAAAAAGAAAGTAATTTTTAGAAAGAAACAACATCCCATTATTTTTATAGTCCTGTCCCATGACCATAGTTATATCCTAATGCAGGGCCCCCCAACCCCCGGCACGCCAGCAACTGGTCTGCACAAACAAGCAAAGCCCCATCCATGGGATGCAGGCAGCACACAAAACCACGCCCCTTCCGGTCCGTGGAAAAATGTCTCTCCAGGTAACCGGTCCCTGGTACCCCAAAGGTTGAGGACCTCTGCCCTAATGGTCCCATTGGCTTCATTAGGCACATAATGTATTACACCCAATGAAATAACTGGTTTCTCTATCCAATCACATTTGGATAGTTAATTTGCATAAATCTCAACAGAAAGATGTCACCCACTTCTCTTTAGGCCTATCTTTGTCTTTGTCAATAAATAAATAATACTAATGCTAATGCTACTAATAGAAAACAAAGAGGCTAAAGTGCTCTGACACTTTAGAATTTAAACAGACAGGCACTTGCCACATAAGAAGCCAGACTTAACAATTGTTGATAATTGCAGTCATTGGTAAAGACAGAAATTTCAAGTTACATTACATTCCAATTAATGCTGCCTTTTGCAATTGACTGATGCTGAATTTGTCAATACTAACAGTGCTCAAGTGGTGCTCCAATTGTTTTGGAATTGAATCCAAAGCACCTATGATTATTGGTTCTACCTTTGCTTTATTTTGTCATTCTATTTCTATTTGCATATATTTTGTCATTCTATTTCTATTTGCATGTATTTTGCTATCTTTTCCAGTTCCTTCTTTTCTATTCTGCTGTCTCCAGGTACTGCATCTTGAAGGATCCTTCCATTAAAGTATTGAAGTTTGCAGATGATACAACAGTCATTGGTCTCATTGAAGACTGTGACGAATCTGCATACAGATGGGAGGTTGAATCCTGGGGTGCAGCTGGAACAATCTGGAGCTGAATACACTTAAAACTGTAGAGATGATAGTGGATTTTAGGAGGAGTCCTCCTATTCTACTATCTCTTACAATATTAGACAACACAGTATCAACAGTAGAGATCTTTAACTTTCTGGGTTCCATAATCTCCCAGGACTTGAAATGGACATCTAACATTAAAACCATCATTAAAAAGGCACAACAAAGAATGTTCTTCCTGTATCGACTAAGAAAGCCCAGATTGCCCAAGGAGCTGCTGATACAATTCTACAGAGGAATTGTTTGAATCTGTCGTTTGTACCTCTATAACTGTCTGATTTGGCACAGCAACTTCAATGGATAATTAGGACTGCAGAAAAAAACAATTGCAACCAGTCTGCCTTCCACTGAGGACTTGTATACTGCACAAGTCAGAAAGAGGACTGAGAAAATATCTACAGAAACCCCCTCACACCCAGGACATAAACTGTTTCAATTCCTTTCCCTCAGGACACTGTTATAGGGCATTGCATGCCAAACAACGAGACACAAAGACATTTTATCCCCTCATGCCATCACTCTGTTGAAAACCTAATCATGCCTAAGGATATTTATCCATATAATAGGGCTTTATTATTATTATTATTATTATTATTATTATTATTATTATTATTATTATTATTATTATTATTATTATTATTATTATTATTATTATTATTATTTATTATTATTATTATTATTATTATTATTATTATTATTCTCATCTTTTTATTATTTCTTCTATTGATATCTTATGATTATATTACTTTGTTGTTTGTATGTATACTGAGAACTTATGCACCTGACACAAATTCCTTGTATGTTCAATCACACTTGGTCATTAAAGAGTATTCTATTCTATTCTAATAGCTTACATCCTGTGATGATACCTCTAACATATTCATATCTATCTATCCCAGAGCCTTGGGAAGGGCTCAATAGGCAGACAAAAAGGCCAAATCCAATCTGAACAACTGGCTGACTGTGCAATAGATCATAATAACAAGGAATGTTAACAATAATAAATAAATAGATTTAAAAGAAAACAAAAACACAAATTAGTGAACTCAATGGACCGCTATGTCTTTTTCTGCCATCAGTTTTCTATGTTTCTGTTTTGAAAAACATAGATGGAAAAGTTGACAGTACAGTAACATGATCGGAGAAATGTTAGAACTTACCGGAACAAAGAAATCTCATACTATATCAGTTTAGGGCAATCCTCAATCAAAGCAGTTTAGCAGAAGTTTGTTAGATATGTTAGGAACATTAGAACTTAAGAAGAAACTCAAAAAGAGGAGAAGGGCAGGGGGAAAAAATGGACAGGAAGACAGATCAAATTGAGAATACCCAAAAAAGAAGAGTCAGAATGAGAGTTGGAGGTGAATTCTGAACCTGAGAAAACAGATAAAGTGGTAGGGAAAGAAATCAGAAAAAAGAAAAGAATTAAAAGGACCATTCCAGAACGCTAGCTGGCACAGAAAGAAAGGAATTGGCAAGAAATTTCCAAAAGCACAGCAGAAATGGGAGAACAAGTTGCAACAGAAAATTTCCCTCCGATTTCAAAACCAGATTTCCCTCAACTAAGAAGAGTCTTATATGTCTGATTAGTTCTTCTAGTTGTTTTGAACATTTGTGTAATTTATTTTGTAAAGGCAATCATTTTTATTCATTGTCCTATTTATACTTGCTATTGTAAAAAGCAGAAAGAGCAAATAAAGCCTCTTTTAATGGAAATCTACAGTAATAGACCCTTCAATACAAGTAGTCCTCGACTTACCACCACAATTGAACCCAAAATTTATGTTGCTAAGTGAGACAGTTACTAAGTGAATTTTGCCCCACTTTACGACCTTTCTTGCCACAGTTGTTAAATGAATCACTGCAGTTGTTAAATTAGTAATATGGTTTATTTTTACTTTGTTTGTCAGAAAGTCATAAAAAGTGATCATAAAAGGAACTGCAACTATTGTAAGTATAAGCCAGTTGCAAAGCATCTGAATTTTGATCACATGACCATGGAGATGCTAAATGTGAAAAAAGGTCATAAGTCACTTTTTTCAGTGCAGTTTTAACTTTGAATGGTCATTAAATATAATGTTGTAAATCGAGGACTACCTGTAATCCTTATTAGAGATAATCTCTTGGTACATCACTATTGACGAAAAGTTCCATACTGAGCTCTTAAATAG